AAGTTCAAAAGTCGAGGTTTTTGTTTTTTGAGAAATCTTGTCCCACTTTATCAAAATTCAGAGATGTTCATGGGTACAAGATTTTGGTCGTGGGGATTCCTCAACCACAGATGACGGCCTACTACTAGGTTACAAGAATGCTTTGCTAAGTTGTGTGCTTCTACATTAAAACGTCTGTGCTTATGAACAAAGTTACATGAAATAAAGGATCTAGAACGGCTGATGATCTCCCTAATCACCTCTCCATGCCATCCACCAGTGCTTGATGGATGTCGTTGATCACTGTCAGGCAGTCCGAAGCAACATGTAGGCGCTGAGCTCCAAGATCCTCAGCTAGGGCGAGAGCATCCCTTACCGCATACGCCTCCAGTGTCGCCGGGTCGACCATCTGCGTGACCAGTGACGATGACCCCAGGTATAAGCCATTATGATCTCTGCACACCACTGTCGAAGCACCGAAGTTACCCTGATTTGCCATAGCTCCATCCACATTAAGTTTTACAGTGCCCTCCGGTGGCGGCCTCCATTGTTCTAGTCTGACAGTTGGTTGCCCCCGTCACTACCCTTGGTCTTTTCTCCGGTTCCTGGGCCTCACTCAACTCCCGTAGATATGAGGCTATGAATTCATGTGTATGTCTAGGCCCCTGAAAAACAGATTTGTAGACGGCTTTCCTTCTCACATACCAAATCGACCATAGCATGACTACAAGCCTTGCGAACTGATCTTGGCTCAGAATCTCATGGAGGTCGAGTACCCAGTTCTTCGCATTAGATCCTTCATTCTCTGAAATTTTCTCCTCCAGGTCGTCATCCGACAAGGCCCATACACACCTCGCCATGGTGCAGCTCAGCAGTGCATGTCTCCACCAGTCTCCGGCGCCGCAAAGAGGGCACACATCAGTTTCTGTCATGTTCTTGTGTTGCATTACATCAAAAGTTGGCAGTGAGTGGTGCGCTAATCTCCATAAGAATACTCTCACCTTGGCCGACACTTTGATCTTTCACAAATATGACCATGCACTTTCTTCCTTTGCACCATCAGAACATTCTCCGCTCCCATCGAGCCAACCTTCTCCCTGAATTTTTGTCTTAATGATGACCTTGTAGGCCGAGCGAACCGTGAAAATGCCCTTGTTGTTCGGTTGCCAAGCCCACAAGTCGTCAATGTTCTGCGTACAAACCGGGATTTGCAAGATTTCCTCCGCATCATTTGGCAAAAAACGCTTTGAACTAGTTGCTCATTCCATGTAGGTGTAGTTGGCTCAAGAAGCTCCGAAAACCCTCACTGGTGGGTTCTGCACCAGAGATAAGATTGGCCTCATGAAATTACCTTTGGGTATCCAATTATGTGCCCAAATCCGAGTCTCCTGTCCATTCCCAATTCTTCTAATCAAGCCCTGCTTCAAAATATCCCTGCCCTCAAGAATCACTCACACACTTGGGATGGTTTTGCACGAAGTTCTGCCTCAAGAACCGTGGTATTGGGGAAATACACGGATTTCAGAATTCTAGTACTCAAATTGTTTGGCTCCTGAATAATTCTCCAAGATTGTTGAGGGATACAAAGGTGATTGCGAATGAGATACCTAGGCCACGGCCCACTAGGGTGCCCGTGAGCGCCAGCTTAGGGCGCTGAAGGCACAAGTTTTTCTTTTCTTTTGAGAATGAAGGCGGCAGTTATCCGTAACGCCATATCTCGCTTATAGCGAGTACAATGGAAGACTCGCGTGAACATCTACAGTAATAGCCTAGAATCGTTCACTTGCAACGTACTGACTCTTGCCACTGCGCCATCGTCTGGTTCATGTTAACTTAATATGTCGCGACCTAGTTGAAGAAATAGAGCCGATCTTCCACTGTTTTGTTTTCTGATTTTACCATCTTTTTTCTTAGTTTATTTCTCTGTTTTTAAGAGTTCTTTTCTGTTCTTTTCTTTCCTTTTTCTTTGTTTTTATTTGGTTTACTTTGATTCATTTTCCTTTTTCCCCAGATTTTTCTTTCTTTTTTCTTCATTTCCTTCTGTTTTGTTAGTTTCTTTTCTCGTTTTTCATTGGTTTTATTTTGTTTTCTCTCAGGGTTTCACTTTTTTCTACACACATTTTTGGTGTATATCCAGTACATTTTTCTAATACACGTATAATTTTCCACTACAAAAGTAAATTTATTGAATACATGGTCAACATTTTTTTATACACATTCATTTTTTTCAAATGTTTATTAACACTTTTTAAATAACATATTTTTAAGTGCATGATCAACATATTTTCTATACACATTTAACATGTTCTTTCAAATACTTGATTAACATTTTTCAAATACAAGTTAAATTTTTTTAATACATGGTCAATATTTTTCTATACAAATTTAACATTTTTTCAAATGTTTGATTAACATTTTTCAAATACAAAGTTTAACATTTTTTAATACGTGGTCAACATTTTTTCCGTACACGTTTAACATTTTTCAAATGCTTAAATAACATTTTTTGAATACGTGGTCAACATTGTTCTACATACACTTAACATTTTCTCGACATGCATTTAACATTTTTTTAATACGTGGTCAACATTCTTTCTATACACATTTAACATTTTCAAATGCTAAATTATTATTTTTGGAATAGATGATTAAAAATTACAACACTTAACAATACAGTGTATTAGCAACAATACACTTGCACACCTAACAAAATCAACAACACCCAATCAAAACGGTGCCATGTCAATGCATAAAGTGTTTCATGTTTGCAGAGGATTACACTACATAAAACATCAAGTCCATTAGTACATTAACTTGGTTAAATCTACTAAATAAATTAGCTTTTCAATCGACACAATTCATATTTCACTATATTATCTTGCTTTCTTTTTTTTGCGAAAAAACTTCCAATCTATTCATCTTCAATCATGGCAGTACAACGAATACCAGAAATAAAAATTACATCCAGATTCGTAGACCACCTAGCGACGACTACAAGTACCGAAGCGAGCCGAAGGCGCTCCGCCATCATCGTCCCTCCATCGCCAGGGCCGGGTACAACTTGTTGTAGTAGACAGTCGGGAAGTCGTCGTGCTAAGGCCCCATAGGACCAGCACCCCAGAACAGCAACCGCCGCTGATGAAAAATAACGTAGATCGGAAGGATCCAAACCGAAGACACACGAACGTAGACGAACAACGACGAGATCCAAGCAAATCCACCAAAGATAGATCTGTCGGAGACACACCTTCACACGCCCACAACGATGCTAAATGCACCGCCGAAACGGGGGCTAGGCGGGGAGACTTTTATTCCATCTTCAGGGAACCGCCGCCGTCTCGGCTTCCTGAGTAGGACAGAAACCCTAACAAGATTGAAAAAATGACTAAAAACGGAGCCCTCCCGCCGGCCCTTGGCAGGATCCACCGCGCATCCATGGCCCTAGGGCCACCGGAGACGAGGCGGACCTGCGCCGGCGCCGGCGAGAGGCACGAACCCTAACTTTCTTTCTTGGAGGAGGAGGAGGAGAAGGTAGTTAATTAGATGATTGATTATATTATCTTGCTTTCAAACTACTAAATATCACATCCATAGATAGATGGATACTTACATCATGCGCACAATCATAGAACCTCCTTCCAGTGAGGGTGCCTTAGAAAGCTCCAAATTTCTTAACATTTTTCTTGTGGTCGCACTCGAAATCCACAATGCCCTCAAAGTCGAAGTCTTCAAAGATCAGAGACGCCTGGATTGAGCTCAAATGAGATAGAGCTAGTCAATTAGACTGGATTCGGTTTAAACACACACTCAAATCCAGTAAATCCCAAAATCACAAGCAATCGTAACCCTAACCTAGGAGACAGAGAAGAGAAAGCTTATGTGAGAGTCGAACTCCGCCAGGGAGTCATCGCTGCTCTCACCGTCATTCCAAGAGACCATGGCGGCCGACGACTGGGCAAGCATGAGCTCGAAATCTTGACGGCAAGCAGCGCAGCAACCAGAGGAGCGCGAGGGTGCAGCAGATGAGCGCAATAGCAAAGGGAGCGAGGGAGGGGGAGAATGACTATGGAACACCGACCGGGGTGAACCCTTGGCTCCGACCGAGCGCGGTCCCGACCGAGCCGTTAACGCCTCACTGTTAGCTCTACCGCCACGTGGACGCTTAGACACGTCAAATACTGCCCAATTTTTTCGTAAGTGTATTTTGCCACCGTCAACGACAGCTTTCAGTGCATTTTGCCACGTTTTGAATTGTGGTGATGTTTTGCAAGTTAGGACACGATTGTGATGGTTTTATGCATTTCACTCGCTGACCAGAATGAACACAGCTTGTCTGTCAGGAAAATGTGCACTATTGCCTTACCCGAAGAATGGCAATTCTGGCACAGATTAAAGAACAGAGGCCCAGCGTCCACATACTGACATACAAGGAAGCTTCTACTTTCACACCCAGCATCTTTAAAATTACAGGAACAGACTTTACAAGTTATAACAGGCACCACAGTTCGTTTTTAAACAAGGCTGCTAGCGCCTGCGTCATAAATAAATAATGTTACAGGAAGAAACTACACGAGTATAATTAATCAAGGACCTGGCAGCCAGCGCACCGCACACGGAAGCAGTGGCAGGTATGGCGTAGCCATGCCCACGCATGCGGTGGGTAGGGAGCCGGGAGGACTAGTCCCTGTAATTGTATTGGATTAATGCACAGATGGTGGAGAGTGATCGAAACCACCCACCAAGAAGAAAATGATATCTGCACGCTCCATCCACCTCCAAGGAGAATATGAAGCAGCGGCATAACATGAACTTCCCGCGTGTTTGCAGCTTCTCTATCTGTAGTAGTATTTTCCAACTCACCAACTGGTGTGTTTTTTTTAACGCTTTTCCGGCTGCGCTGTCCGGCACAACTGCTGGTGTTCTCTTTCTTTTTCTTAGTGCGAGCGACACCACATGAGCTGCTGAAGGCTATATTGTTGCTAGTCTGGCACTGGATGGATATAGCCAATGGCATTTGGGCTTCAGTAGCTTCGTGTATCGTTGAGCGGATCATAGTCGTATGCTTCGCCGGCTTTGACAAACCGGCCCTTGACCCTTTTCCTCACGTCTGCCCTAGCCTTGCGAGAAGCGTACCTGATCTTCTTGTCGAATCTGTCAAAAAAAAAAAGTTATGTCACCAAAGGATGCTTAGTAAATTTTGGAAGAAAAAAATGATAATCAAAAGCTAGATGCTGCCTGATGAAGCTAAGGTGGCCAAACGGACTGGTGGCATGTCGGAGAAGTAACAGGCCACCTTTAACAAACAGCTATAAAGAAAAGCTTAGCTCAACTTAACAGAGTATTTGTAATTTCACAGCCATCAGACACGTGTGCGAATATTTACTTGGTAAATGTAAAGCTTTTAGAATTCTGAACAGGAAACTATGATTGCGGGCATGTTTTTAAAGCATGTAATAGCTGAAATTCTAGTATTGCTAAAAATGATGAGAAAAAAATCGACGAAAACCCACAACGAGGTGTGCTTACTTTCTTCTCTTCTTCTTCTCCATGTACCGCGAGAGAGCACTACCTCTGCTGCCACTGGCAATTGAACCTTCAGGACCAGGAAGCCAGGGTGGCTCGCCCGTAAGGAGCAGTGGTGATACCCCACAATCTTGGTGATCTCCAGCATTGCTCTCACCAGTCAAAGCAGAGAACGAGAGGGAAATACTGGATATGGCCTGCCTAGCAGGAACACAGAGGCTGGAGTCAGCAGATACTGCGTTGCTACATTCGGGCTGCGCGGGTTTGAGCTGCTCAAAGCACAAAAAATGTCTTAGAATAGTGAATTAACCATCAGATAGACTACAATTCTTTTTCTTTTGAGAGGATACTGTAATATAGCCCTTGCATGGAAAATAAACTGAACTACTTTGCTGTGAAACTAAAAGGTCCTCAACTGAATTTTGACGAGTGAACTGACATAACAACAACAACAACAAAGCCTTTAGTCCCAAACAAGTTGGGGTAGACTAGAGATGAAACCCTGAACTGACATAACAACTTCCAAAATATGCACCAGGGGAGGTAAATAGAGAATATTTCATGCAGAAAGTACAAACCTCGTTACAATCAGCAGCTGGCATTTCCTTCATTCCAAAGTAACTGTCAATTCCAGCATCATCAAATAGTTGCTCTGTCTGAATGTGAGGAGTACCAAACAGCTCTTCATAATTCTCAAATGTCAGGCCAGCATCATCCACACAGAAGTTTTCATATATGCTGCCATCATTGAACATATCGTCATCTGTTACACAGGGTACCTGAATGATGCAACCAACATTTCATAAGCATACAATGATACGAAGGGACGGAGAAAGCTGTTTTATGAAACATGGTGACCATGCATAAAAAGATCCCGATTTCCAAAATATTGCAATTGTTTGACCGCTCAGATTAAGAATATTTTTAAAACATTTTGCCAACAGTACAAGAAAAGATAATTGGCCTGCAGAAAAGGTATGCGCCTATATTGGTGCATTTTACTGCAACTGCAAGTCTACAGCATGACTAATGTTTGACTACATTCATATGTTAAGTAATGTTGCATGCAACAGGCTATGAGCTGATGACATATGCAGAAACCTAGCAGAATAGTTAAATAACAATAATATATGTTTTCTGGGGGAATATGATTAGCCATATTGTACCTTAGGTGCCATCGAAACTGATTGAGCTGGCTGATGTGTAGGAAGTGGCCGAAGATTCATTTCGTCTCCGGTATTAAGCTTTTCGCGAGTGTGTGGATCACTGATGAGTGATGTGTTAGCCATATCCAGCAAGCTGCTATCCTGTTGAGCGCCACAATGATTACTGACACCACTGTCATTAATGCTCATCATGCTTATTCCTTCCTCGCAGTTCGGCTCAGCAGCTGCAGAAGGGGCATCAAAATCAAAGGACCAGATTCTTGCCAGCTCTTCTGATGATGGGCATCCTGAGTAGCAGTTTATGGTCTGCCTTAGATGCCCGGCAGCCAAGGATGTCGCGGCATGCCCGTTCCAATCACAGTTTTGGCAAAGTGAGGTGTTCTCTTCAAGACACCGGACTGCTGCAGGCTGTGAAGCACAACGATCACACAGAAGGGTCCTCATATGTCGCTGGGAAAGGGTGTTAGCCGAATGCACATTACGGTCGCACGATAAGCATAAGGATGCAGCATCCGATCGGCAATAAATTGTTGGCCTTTGCTCCCCACAAAAATCACAAAGAGCACCCATGATCATGGGGGCTCTTCCTCCAGCTGTTTAGTGCCACTGCCACTACAACAGGCACTGTCCCGGGCTCTCTTAGTTCAATTCAGTGAAGGGTCCTACATGACATTGGAATGCAAATACAAGAGATCGTTATCACCGAAGGAAGCTTATTTGACCAATTTTGTGCAGATATATAAAAATATGATTCTAGAAGGAACAAGTTAGGAACTAATCCACCCACTTGCAGCAACGTGTACATATACAATTTACAGGAAAAGAAGGCATGTTTTATGCCGCCCATAGTACTTTTGAGACAGACCATGCAAATGTCACTTGCTCTGTTCTACAACCAATAGGAATGCTCCAAAGTGTCACCATATAAGAACGAAACAAGAATGGTCCATTTTATTCATATATTGACATCAGCTAGTAACAACACAGATCTAGGATAATATTTTTAACCGCGTCCATATTTAGGTAACAGAACATTTCCATTTAAAGAGACTTATGTAGGTTTTGACAGAGTCCACCTGGAATTGCCGGCCAAGACATAAAGAATCCGAGGTGATAATCACCCCCAAAAAAAGAATTAGAGTTTTAAAAGCAAAAGTACAACTGACTGGTCTTGGGAACTTTTCTTCTTGATGCACACTACAATTTTATTTATTAATTAGTAATACTGGTTATAATATATAATCATATCTACTACTCCCTCCGTAAAGAAATATAAGAGCATCACGCTCTTATATTTCTTTACAGAGGGAGTAGTATATTCTCCGTAAAGCATACGAAGAAACAATATGAAAATAAAGAACTTAAATTGGAGTCAACACTGAACTACATTCGCTCCGAAAACCAGAGAGACCGAGAGACAACCCTAGAATGCACTTTGTAACACCAAAAAGGAAAAGAGAAGTATTAACCTGAAGGCACGAAGCAAAAGCATTGGTTTGAGGAAGCAAGAGCATCTAAGCAAGCATGGCTGAGAAGCAAAAGGGATGGAGCACAAATGGAATTATGGAACGCTACCGACCCCGGGTGCAAATGGCCGGATTAGTTGCTGGTCTTATCTCAGAACGCGCCTATTTCAGCACATGAAACGGACACCTTTCCGTTCAGTTTGCTGCGTCACAAATCGTTGCTGCCTTAAGGTACTAATCCGAGCCTGGGGCGGCACTAATCCCACTTTTTATGCCAACTTGAGCCTAAAGAAAACCATGGGTGGATAAAGCCAACGAACTTTCCCTAAAATTACCTCTGTCTTTCTGATTGATTGAAAACACCCGAATTTAAAGCCGCGATAGGGATATCCTTTCAGCGCCTAGCCACAGCCACTGCCAAGAAGAGAAAAAAGAGAGCCGTATGAGCAAAGCGCAGTGCAGCTATAGCCTAGATGGCCGGGTGCTTTTCCACTACGCCGCCAGTAGGCACTAGGCAGTATGAAAAGTGAAGCGTGGAAAATGGTAAATCCATGCCGTAAGCAACTAAGATGAGAACTTACGCAACCAAATCTAAGCGGAGTTAAAACGTACGCTCCACGCGACACGAGTTAAAACGTGAGCAGCCCGCGAAACAAAACGGAAAAAGACTTGAACCCGCTGGAACGGAGACGAGGAGGACCCGAGGATCGAACGCTCGGATCACCGAGACCTACCAGGCAGCCGCCGGTCGGTCTGGCAGTCCCACCCAGACACCCAGTCAATCGCCTGCAGCAGCAGCAGCTCGACCCACGGAACCCATCGCGCGAACGGGCCGCTGCTGCTTACGGAGTGGAGCTAAAAACCAAGGAAACGACCAAACCCAATCGACGGCGACAGGTGGAGAGCTTAGCAAGGGAGCAGAGCTCACCGGACCGCCGCATCGACGTACGGAGGCGCCACGCCCGACGGCGCTGGTGGGCGAGAGGGTCCTCGAAGCTTCCACGGGCGCCCGGACTAAAAAATGACTTTTCTGGAGGAGGAGGGTGCGGGTGGAGAGAGAGATAAGCGAAGGGAGGAGGTGGAGAGAGAGCGCGGCGGCAGAGGGAGAGGGAGAAGAAAGGAGAATAGGTAAAGGGAGAAAAGAGCGACGGGGATGAGGGTGGAGGGGCCCTTTCCGAGTGCTCTTTTGCGCTTTTGGGGGCAGAACCGTCACCCGGGCGCTGGATAAGGGGGCGCTTGGCGCCGTGCCACGTGCGCGTCCTTTCGCCAAGTGGCTAGCCGGCTCGTTTTCCCCTTCTGCCCCTCGCTCGCCCGTGTGTTGGCTTTTGTTTTCTCTGCCGGCGCGGGCCCGCGGGGCGGCGCGGTGCGTACCGGCATGGCGGAGCGGCGGCGCCCATACGCGCCGGAACTGGGCTGGCAGTATAGTTTTTCTTGCAAACATGATTGAGTACTAGGCATTTTACGTAGCACTCCCTCGTTCACTATTACTAGTACTTCCTCTGTTTTTATTTAGGGCAACGATCTGCGCCGGTGCGCCGGCCCAACTATTGGGCCGATCGCACCACAGCCGTTGGATCCGCGCGCGTGGGCCGTTAGATCCTGTTGAAGAAAACGGTTCCCCTTACCTTCTTCCTCGCGCCATGTCGCGCCTC